GGGGTGTACATTTTTTCCCTGCAGGCTGGGCCCTGGCAAGCGGCGGGGCGGCCGCAGACCGTCGGCCTGGCCAGCGGCAGCGCTGATCGGCGGCAACCTGACCCCAAGAGGGAAGGACAGGGGACCGACCACGACGACGACGTCGACGACGACGACGTCGACGACGACGACGTCGACGACGACGACGACGACGGCGACGACGGCGACGACGACGACGACGACGACGAGGACGAGCGAAACCGAAAGCAAGAGAGACAACGACAACAGGGCCACGAAGGGCACGAAGTAGGCCACGAAGGGCGACAGCGGGGACACAAAGGGAATTCGTATGGGGCCACGAAAGAGCACGAACGAGCGGGGGCCACGAAGGGCAGATAATGCGGGGCCACAAAAGGCAACGACGGGGCCACTGATGGTAGCAACTGGGCCACGTAGGACAGCGAGGGGGCCACGAAGGGCGACAGCGGGGCCACGAAAAGCATGCACATGGGGCCAAGGCGGGCGCGAACGAGCGGGGGCCACGAAGGGCATGCGTATATTGGGCCGCGGAAGGCAAGGACGGGGCCACTGAGGGCAGCAACGGGGCCACGAAGGGCAGCGAGGGGGCCACAAAGGGCGACAGCGGGGCCACGAAGGGCATGCATATGTGGCCACGACGGGCGCGAACGAGCGGGAGCCAAGAAGGGCATACATATATGGGGCCACGAAGGGCAGCGAGGGGGCCACGACGGGCTGCAATGGGGCCATGAAGGGCAACGAGGGGGGCCCGAAGGGCTGCAACGAGGCCACGAAGGGCAACGAGGGGGCCACGAAGGGCTGCAACGGGGCCACGGAGGGCAGCGAGGGGGCCACGACGGGCAGCAACGGGGCCACGAAGGGCAGCGAGGGGGCCAAGAAGGGGTGCAACGGGACTACGAAGGGCAGCGAGGGGGCCACGAAGGGCTGCAATGGAGCCACGAAGGGCAGCGAGGGGGCCACGAAGGGCTGCAACGGGTCCACGAAGGGCAGCGAGGGGGCCACGAAGAGCTGCTACAGGGCCACGAAGGGCAGCGAGATCCCGATTCCTAATCTATGACGGAGTCCTCAGCGTGAGCGCGACTCCTGGGTACCTGAGTGCCGGTGGCGCGGCGATTGAATAAATTGCGGGAAATTGAAACGCAAGGGCGCTATTTCTAAGAAGCAAGTCTCCAGCGAGAGCGCGACTCCAGAAGGCCGAGAGAACGATTCCTGAATAAATTGCAAGGAAGTCCTAAGCGAAAGCGCGACTCCTGAATAAAACGCAAGGAAGTCTCAGGCGGGAGCGGGGGTCTGGGCTAAATTGTGAGGAAGTCTCAGGCGGGGGCCGTTGTTGTTGTAACCCGGGGGCCAGGGGCACAGTTTGAGCCTCAAGACTTTCCCCGGTAAAAAAAAACAGGGTGCGAGCCACGGGAAAGCATTTCAATTGACAAATAGAATGTGCACTGGTGGGGGGATCAACAATAATTATTTTTCAGAAGTGAGAATTCAACCATCATTATAAAACTGTTCGCTCATACTTGCCCGAATGCCATTCAAAACGAGTTCCCCGCTGTTTGTCTTGGACGGGGGGATTCTTTCTCTTTGCGGGGGGCGGCGGGCTGAGACAGGCGGGCAAACCGAAACGGGCGGGCAATCCTTCGTGGGCGTACATGTGCCCGCCATTGCAATTGGTATGGGCCCTACAAAAAGAGAAGGGGAAGAACGAGGGAGAGTGGGAGGAAGGGAGGGGGAGGGACGAAGGAAGAGGGAAAACGCCAGGAGAGAAAGAGCGAAGAGGGGGGCGGTTGATTAGAGGCAGAGAGAGAGAGAGAAATACATATAAGAGAGGTAGAGAAAGAGAGAGAGAGAAGGGAGAGATAGAGAGAGAGAGAGAAACAAAACAAAAAAGGGAGGGAAGAGGCAGGAGAGGGGAGGGAGAAGGGAGGAGGGAGAGGAGGGAGAGGGGATAGGGCAGAGAGGCATTAGGATGGGGGAAGAGAGGAGGGAGAGGAAAGGGAGGAGAGGAGGGAGGAGGGAGGAGGGAGAGGGAGGAACAGCAGGAAGGTAAGAGCGTGAACGTTCGAAGAAGTCCTGAGCGAAAGCCCCGTTCCTGAAGGAAGTCTCGGGCGGGAGCCCACGACGGGCGGGCGATCCCCTGACGGGCGGGTCGGGCGGGTGGGACATTCAAGCGGGATGCCTGAGTATGGCGAGAGCGCGATTACTAGGCAAATTGTAACGGCGTCCTTGGCGCAACGTGTTTCCTGAGCGTCGAAAGCGCGATTCCTGAATAACATGTGAAGGCTTATCTGGCGGGAGCGGGGGTCTTGATTAAATTGCGAGGAAGTCTTGATTCAATTGCGAGGAAGTCTCAAGCGGGAGCACCGTTCCTGAGTAAATTGTGAGGAAGTCTCAGATTGGAGCGGGGGTCCTGACTAAATTGCGAGGTAGTCACAGGGGGGAGCACCGATCGTCAATAAATTATATGAAGTTTCAGGAGCGGGGGTCCTGAGTAAATTTGGAGGAAGTCTCAGGCGGGAGCCGTTGTTGTCGTAATCCGGGGGGCCAGGGACCCAGTTTGAGCACCAAGACTTTCCCTGTCAGGAAACAGGGTGCGAGCGACGGAGGGGCACACTTTGATTGAGAAAAACAATATGCACCGGTGAGGGGGGATCAACAATCATGATTCTTCAGAAATGAACGATCAACTCGACATTAGCTACCTAGACCATCTACCAGGAATGCTCCCCGAGCCCCTGGAGGACCAGGAGGACCCCGAACCCGCTGCCGCCTCCCAAGGGTCGAGCCCCTCTCCTGAGCCTCATCCCCCGCTTGCTGCTGCTGGGGTGAAGTCTGCAAGGGGGGGGACCTTGCACTGTTGTGCCTGTCAGATTCCTTGTGGAGGTCAGCAGCCACGCACCTTCCAACTATGCGTTGCGATGCGGCTACCCTGCGTTGCGATGCGGCTACCATGCGATGCGATGCAGGGGGGGACCTTGCGCAGGGTCTTTCGGATGCCCTGTGGAAGGTGACGGAACATGATCTGCTGGAGGGATAAAAGTGGTTTCGACCACGGGGTTCTGTGCTTGTTGTTCGGCATGCTGGCAGCCTGCCACAAAGCACATGCAGAGGGGCCTCACGGCATCGAGCAGAGGGCCCCGTAAGCTCACTGGCGCCTGCACCGCCCAAAAAGGCCTCCACCAAAAGGCCACCCCTACCTGCCAAGGACCTTTCCCCGTGTCGGTTCATCTTCGACGCTCGCCCGCGCTAGGTGCGGTGGAGGGCGACGTCCTCGTCTGTCGACGCCCCCAAATCTGCACAACGGTTACACGGATGGATGGCGGCTCCTGTTGTATGGGCATCTCGCTTGAGGCTTCCCATAACCGTATGACACAACTTGAGAGCCCGAGCAACGCTTACACGGATGGAGAGCACACACTCGTGTCAGAACGAAACCTTCGCTGGAGAATCCCTTTTGTCAGATCAAAGCTGTATATATATACATATATATATGCATTCATGATAGTTGAATGGACGGAGAGTAGGCCCTTTACAAATCGGGGACTTCCCTGAAAGGCACGCCCACGGGGTGTCCGTCTGCTAAGGTGGGCGACTCCCACACCGGGAAGGAACACGCACATGGACTCTCTCTCTCGTTCTTTCTCTTACCAGCCTGGAGCATATCCCTATCCCTGTGCTGGGCATCGCCTCATCGCGATGGCGATCTTGGGCATTTCCCAGTTTCTGAGGGTGCCTCCCTAAGATTGCCATCGCCTTTTGGCGTGTCAATCTTAGGGATCGGGATAAGTTCGAGGCTGGTGATTCTCCCTCTGTCTCTCTCCCAGGCGACGCGCCCGCGCCACGAAAGCCGCGAAAGCGAACTGCCCTGCCCCCGAGGCCCTGACGCGGCCGCGTGAGAGCACACAGCTGCACGGACCTTCTGTCGGGGATGGACAGACCTCCCTTTAGTAAAACGTGGTTTATTGAAAACGACCTCGGGCCCAAACCTGGCGGGCGCAAGCCTGGAAAATGACGGCCGCGGCGCCCTCTCGAGAACCGAAAACGGACAATTCACTAATCGACGTGTCAGGGTAGGAGGTCTGTCAACCCCCGATTCTGTCAGGGGCCCTGCGCCGCGCGCGCACGGCAATCGGGCGGGGCGGCTCGGGGTCCGGCGGCACCGCCGCCGCCATGTGGGCGGCCGCGCAGGCGACCGCGAACTGGATCAGCGCGAGCGCTGACCTGGTGGCAGGGGGCCCAAACCCCGAAATCGGGGATCTTCTGACCCGTGTCAATCCAGACCCGGGTCAGCAGAAACCAAGAACTGCAATGCGAGACAAACAAACTGCAACGCGGGTCCTCGCAAACCCGGGTCAGCCGATATGCGCGGCCACCTCGCGGCCACGAGCGGCTCGCTAACCCGGGTCAGCCAGAGGGGGTCTTCGCAGGATCCTGCAGGATCTGGCGCCCTGGCTGACCCCCGTCTGCATTGACCCCCGTCTCAAGGCTCCCGACGAAAAGGGAAGCACCGCTCCCCGGCCGCCCCTGCCATCCGTGTCGCTTCGCGCCGGCAGGCCGGGGGCCCTGGACCCGGAATCCCCATGCCCAGCCTCGTCGCCGTTCTCGCCCGTGGGATCTGGAGTCGCACCCGCACACCGCACAACTCTCCAAGCCTACTCGCGTGCGGCGGGCAAGGGAACGACATCTGGGACGCTCCTTTGAAGGTCAGGTTGGGACGTCGCCGTCCAGGGGACCTGTCGGGGCGCAGGGTGCAAGGCTGATGGCTCTTGCCGCAGCCCACAGCTGGAAAGTAGGAGCGGGACAAAACAGGAGGGGGACTAGGGGAAGGATGAGCAGAAAGATGGAGACTATCCCGAACGAGCACTCGCGGGAGAACGAGGAGGACGAACGCGAATATCCTGCCCTGGCCTCTGACCCTCCCGCCCGCTGGCCGCCCAACCCGGCCTGAACAGACTGGACACGTCCGCCAGGGATGGCAGTCCGCCCTGAGGCGGGCGCGGCAGGCGGCAGGAGCAGCCCTTCCTGCCTCCCGGCTGTCTATGGAGAGTGCTGCGGAGGGGGAGGGAGCAGCGCACGAGAGAACCAAGGCATCCCCCATCCTGGCGACGACGGCCCTTTTCGGTGACTGCCCCATCTGCACCCCGAAGCTCGGAAGGAGGCCACCACATGGAACATGGAGGAGGGTTCCTGAGCGAGAAGCACTGCGGGAACATGCCCTCCACAACTGACTCTAGACATCAACGTTTCATTCATGTTGGTCCTCCTCCTCCTCCTCCACCTCCTCCTCCTCTGGGTATCCACCCCCTCGGTGTCCTCCTCTAGCTCTTCCTCCTAATCCAATATCACCCCAGCTCCTCGTCCTTGCATATCCCTTATGTCTGGCGGTCAACAGTGCCACGTTTGGGATCGGTCGCGACCCCCGCGGGCCCCGGCAAATAAACTCGCGCTGCCGAGCGAGCGCGTAGTCACATAATAGACAAGAAACCAGGAGGCGATATACATATATATATATATATACTGTATGTTCATTTACGCGGTAAAGTCAGCAACGACTTATCACATCCTGGCGTCGACCCAATCGAGCCCAGACAGGTTGCGGGCGCACTCGCTCCGTGCTCGCCCTAACGGCTAGCTAACTCCCTTCAATAGAAGAGGGGGGGAGGGAAGCGCATCGCAATAACTTGGCTCAAGGCATGGCTCCAGATTCAATAAATAAGAAACACTATTAGCTGCACGCCCATCAACGATGAAGCGGGAGCTGTCTTATTCCGCCGAGAGCAGCCGTCGGCTGCTCCTCCTACACCTAAGGTGTAGCCCGCTAGGGCATGCAGCGGCTTGTCGCCAAGCGTGGAAAAATGCTAGATGATTTCGACTTGCCGGTGGCTCACCTGAGATGAGCGACCGCCGATCGGCAACTCCGTTCAGGCAGCAAAACGCGCGAACGCAGGGCGACTCGAAGGATGAGCGATATGAGCCTGCAGCCAAGTGTCTGGTGTCAGGCTGCGCGGCCAGCTGTTAGGCCACACAGGAATGTGAATACCCAATGTTGCCTGCGGCCAGGTGCCTGGCGTCAGGCTTGGCCAGCAATCAGGCCGCAAAATAATGTGGATGCCCGATGTCGGGCGCCTGCTGCCAGGCGTCAGAGCAACTGCGCGAAAGCCCGCGGCCAGGCGCCCGTCGCCAAGCCAAACAGTGCATGATCCGCAGCCCCGCGAGGTGCAGGTTCAATGCCGCGCGCGCTCTGTACTACTGCGATGTGACAGTTATATCATTGCATCATGCTGGAATGACTCATGCCCAGACACTACTGTAACGACAACTCGCGATCAATGTTACCTTGAGTATGTCCATCTGCTGTCATGTCACGCGCGTCACACTACTGAACACAATGAACTACATTACTCTCCATCATCTGTCGGATCCGGCTGAGATGTCCAACTAAGGAATATTCCGTGCGTCGTTTGTCAAGGTCCTTGCTGGATGGGGACTGAGTGAAAGATTCGGCATCTATGGTGGGTGATACAGTAAAGCACGGACCACACTTTCCAATGCGTTTGTAAGAGCTCTTCCGTGGGCATGGGACGTGGTGCCTCCCGTTTTGAATTCGTGTAGCGTGACGATGGTCGGGTAGCAATCCTCGAGATTATGTGCCGCAGCTAGCACTTCCGCTGAATGTTTTGAACGCACCTGAAGTCGATGCGAGCATCCACAAGGTGGATAACGGCGGCGCCGTTCCGCGTGCTGCCATGCCTTGTAAGGTTTGCCCCGCGGATGCCGAATCCCAGTTCTTCATTATCCGCATCTCCCGTCAAACGGCGGTATCCAGGCTCGCTATGAGTGTCTACCTCGTCCGTTGGTGTCATGGCTGGATATGAGAATCGCATTCTGGCCACCACGCGCAGCCGCCGAACTTGGATGTCCGCGGGCCCCTGAACTCGCTGGAGTAAGACGACGTAAACCATGAACAACACCTGCACGATGAGAGCGCATGCCCGTGCACCCCTCAGACCGATGAGCATGTGTGTAACAACCTTAATAGTTTTCTCTTCGGGTGCTGCTCCAATCAGTTCGGGATGTTGGATAGCTCCCATCTGTTTGATGTACTTAGCTTGGTCCATACTACTACCGCCGTTCGGGGGAATGGAGCATCGTGCATCGCAGTTGGAATGCGTACACTTGTTTACCTTACACTTACCGATCGTTTTTGGAGCGCACTGCATGCGTGTCGGCGCGAGCTTCCTCGCCAACCATGTTGAGGTCGCCGACGTGCTCGGCCGAAAGCAAGGCCGGGCTCACTTCGAAGTCTTCGTCGTATTTCTCGCCTTGAAGCCCGAACCCCAAATGTAAGGTTTCTGACCTGAAATGAGAATGCTCGAAGCATCCTTGGTGCCCGCGCCAAGCTTCGAGCGCTGAAGGCAGTGCTTTGCTTGGCCGAAATCGGCTAAGACTGGTAGTGTTCGAGGCACCGACACAGAGACGGAGCGTGAAGCACTCTAGCCTCTCCTTTTCTCCAGCGGTTGGCCTCTGAGGAAGACGAGATTCCAAGATGCGAGAATCCACTCCTTCTTGTGCGCTGCAGTGCTGGGCAAGGGCTCCTGATTAGCTCTTCGCGCCGTGCCTGGGAATGGTTCGACGTCGGAGGCCTCAACGCCCACAGTGCCCCGCAACGCGAGCCTAAGAAGCATCGCGCGTCCCATCTCGCCCTCTTCGTTCCTGGCGAATCTATATTTGTATGCGAAGCAAGGTGCAATTACATTGGTAGATTCTGCGAGAGAACGCATGCAGCAGTAGTTGTTGTCGTGCCAGATACGTAGCTGAAAGTATGAGGCTTCGGATGCCTTCAAAGGGTGTGCCTGGATCCCGTCGTCAGATAGGTCCTCTTTTACGACAACTGCGCGTTCGGATGCGACATGTCCGTATACCAATATCGTGGCGATGACCGCGTCGTTTACCAACTGATGCGGTTGTTCTGACAGCACAGTCTTTACCGTGCCCGCTGTGAAACATAGTTCCACCTACTCCCCGTGGCAATCGGAGTCCAGTGTAAAACTGACGTCGTACTCGCACAACTGCACGACTATAGCGTACGATTCCACGTATTCCTCTGGCCTGTTGCCAAGTCCAGTGGCAGCATGTGTGTCGGCACAGTGAATAAAGCTGGGACGTAATGACTTTCCAGGAGTGCTTCACGTTGTAGTTCGATTTCGTCTGTGAGCTCTTCATACCAGCCCTCCATGATGAGTGCATCCAAGTCTTCATCAGTCTCCCCCTGGATCGTTGGGAGTCGACCTGTATTAGGTCCGACCTCTGTGTTTCGGAATCGTTCCCACGGCGTCTTCAAAAGACACCCTGGGGAAGCCCCAGAACTACTTCAATGATCTGATCTCGGGGGGCCCAAGAGACGCCAAGAAGTTTCCCATACAAGCCGCTGCTATTCCCTCCCGTTCCACAGGTCCCAAACGTCTCGCAGATTTCAGAGGTCCCACATTTCTCGCAGGTCCCCCGGATCCCACAGGTCTAGCAAGTCCCACAGGCCCCTCAAGTCCCACATGTCCTAAAGGTCCTACAGATTCAACAGGTCCCACGGGTCGCACGGGTCTCACAGGTCTCGCAGATCACGTAGTTCGTACAGGTCGCACAGGTCCGACTGGTCCCGCAGGCCCCACGGGACAAGAAGTTTACGGGTCTCGCAAGACCAACAAATTCCATAGGTCTCGCATGTCCCACAAGTCGCACAGGCCCCACAAGTCCCACACATGTCGCACGTTTCGCGGGTTGCACAAAAACAAAAGGTCAAACGGGTCCCACAAGTCCTGCACGTTCCACAAGCCCCAACGGTATCGCAAATACCGCAGGTACCACAAATATCACATGTCCCAGAAGTCCCAAACTGCCTACTACAGGTGTCGAAGGTCCAGCAATTCCCACAAGTGTCGCACGTCCCATAGGTCCCACAGGTCCCACTAGTGCCGCAGGTCAGGTAAAACCGCAGCGCCACAAATACATCACGTCCCACTGGTCACATGTGCTGCTATTAGAAAGCGTTGCTGGAATGATAGTGGTGTCCGTGGGATGATCGTGGTTTCCATGTTGTTGTCCCTATGCTGCCATGTTTCTTGCATCGTGGCACAATTGGTTACATCGGTGCCCCCGTTTAGTTAGCTCTCTCGCCGACGCAAGTACCCTGTGTAGCCGCCGACGCAAAAACATGTCCGTGGTGTCGGAACTCTTCTCCCAAGATGTAGCTGCTGAGCCCCGATCCAACCGTCCAGCGGTCGTGTTCTCCGAGAAGAGGAGACAGGGGAGGAGGAGGAGGAGGAGGAGGAGGTGGAGGAGGAGGAGGAGGAGGAGGAGAAAGAGGAGGAGGAGAAGCTCCCCAGTTCAAGCTCCAGTTCCAGCTCAAGCCCCAGATCCAGCCCGAGTCAAGCTCCAGCTCCAGCCCTATGACACCTGAACCATAAGGAGCTCTTCGATCCTGTTGAAACCGATGAGCCCCGTATGCCGTTCAACCTCCATGAGACATGTGACCAGATTGCCCTCATGAACAATACAAACCTCGTGCGCCCTAGAGCCTTCGGGGGCACTGCCCCATTCCCCCATTCCCAAGTGACGGCAATGGCGGTCGCAACGCACCTCGCTGGCACCATGCGACCAAGATTATATCGGCGAAGTGTAGCGAGTCGGTAAAAGCGTGTGCACATGTTGAAGATACAGATATGCACACATGCATACATGCATCCACATGTGCGTACACACTTACAAGTACCCAAACATCTAGGCACGTGTATGTATGCATGCGTATGTAGAGACAACGAATCTATGTATACACAACTATGTGTATATATATAAGTGCATAGTATTTTAAACACTGAATCAATACATATGCATATATGCATGCATATGTCTAAGTACACATGTGTATGCATGCGTATGTCTATACATAAGCATGTGTATGCATACATCTATAGATACACCGTAAACTGTA